TGTGCGCAAATGGCATAGAAATTGGCCAGCGAATCGTATGCCTGCGCCTTGCCATAGAAGCTGATGATGTGCTTCAGGATGTTGCCATCGCTCTGCCAGTCGAGAGCCTGCAGATAGTTGGCGGCCATGATGTAGATTTCCCGCTGGCGTGACATGGTCGCAAAGAAGATGATCTTGTCGGTGTTGCCGGACTTGAGCAGAGATTTCATGGCGCGCACCTTGTCGCCGGCCTGTGTAAACTTCTTGGTGGCGCTGTGATAATCGCCTTGCTGCTGCAGAAGCTCGCCCAGCTTTACGAGGATTCCGGTGCGTGTCTCCTCGTCGAAGTCACCTTTGCCGGGCGTCAGCATGTCTGCCAGCTCCTCTGTGACCGGCACACCCTTCTCCACGCAGATGTTCAAGGCACGCTCCAAATGCTTAGTCTTGGCCAGCAATTGTACCGCCTTCTGGTACTGTTCGATGCTGGCGAAGAAGTCCGCACAGCGATTGATCAGCTCCGCATCCGATTCGGCGCTTAGCTCTGTGGCTATAATCTCCAAAATCTCCGGCTGCTGCGACTCGAACGCCATTTCCAGCGCCTTGTGGAGCATGCCCGCACGATGGTAGAGCTCAACGGCATACTTGAAATTTCCGCACTCCTCGAAGTAGGCCGCTGCGATGGCCTTGTCTCTGCTGCGCGATGAGCTGGCCACCGTCCACAGCTCCTCCTGGAAGTCGTTCTCCTTGCAGATGCGTATGGCATTGCTGAAGGTCTGTGCACGAGTATAGAACATGATGGCTTCCTGGAATTTGCCCACATTCTCGTAGTGCCTGCCCAGATGATAGCAAGCGGCACGATCACCCGACTGCCTGGCAATAGCATCCGCCTTAGAGATCTTGCCCAGATAGCAGAGTATCTTCACCTGCGAGAACCAATCCTCGGCCTTGCTGTAGACAGCCAAAGCGGCATCCATGTCGCCAGAGCTCTCCACATACTGGCCCCACCACCTGAGCATCTTGGGATCTGTGGTGGTCTGTATATATCGCTGCATGGCCATGGGATTTTCCAGCAGCAGCTGTGTTATATTCTGCACAGGATTCTGTGTCTTCTCGTAGTACTCCAAGGCGCCCTTGATGTCGCCTCGTTCGCGCAGAGCCTGAGCCTTCTGGTAGTACGTATGCTTCAGATGTATGCGATCATCCACCTCGGCCACTTGAAGCGCCTCGTCCAGCAGGCCAGTGGACTGGAGCAGCTTGTTGAGTAGGTCGTAACGCTTGCAGCGTTTGTATAATTCCTTGGCCTCTTCGATCATGCCCAGCTCAATGGCCAGCACTGCTACTTTAGCCTCCAGCTCGAGATCTTCGTCCTCCATGGCCTGGCGCAAGGCTCGCACAGACCGGGCCTGCTCCAAGTGGCCCATGCACACCTTGGCCACATCCAGGCGATTTGTGTGCACGCACATCTTAGCCAGATTAGTCCAGATGACCTTGGACTGAATGGAGCGAACGCACCGAAAGGCCAAATCCATTTGACCCTCGGCCACGTGCAAACTAAAGTTGAGCACCTGCTTCCGGGTGTTGGCATCGCAATGCTGCAGATCGACGAAATCCTTCAGCGGCTGCTCCTGCACTGCATTCACTTGCAGACAGACAACGCTGGGCACGCACAGATTGAGCAGCTGAGCACCAGCACCCATCGCCTGAGCTTCGAGGACATTTAGCTTGCATTCGTTCTTCTCCGAGTAGAACATGACCAGCACCTGTGACTCCACATAGTGACTGGGCGTTAGCTGCTGCCGGCTGGGCTTTTGGGCTTGCATCACCATCGATTTGACCTCGACAGCCAGCAGGCGAGGCTCTTCCGTGTCCCAGAAGAGTCGCACGGCCAGACTAGACTTGCTGCTGGTCTCGGACTCAAGCTTGACCAGATCGTGCTCGAAGAGATTATTGCGCTCAAAGTCCCAGCAGTAGATGGCAGCGCAGGGAGTAAAGCTGCTGTTGGCAATCACCAGGGCCAAGTGACTGCCCAAGCTGTTGCATTTGACCAAGATGAACTCGCCGAAGTCATCGAAGATCTCGTGTCCCGACTTGCTGGGAAACAACAGCTTCGGGTCATGCCGAGATACATCGTACGCCTTGACATAGCCATTCATCGTGAATACGGACAGATAGCAGCCCGTCAGATCCATGCCAATGATTTTTCCCTCTATATCGTTGCCTAGTATTCGGTGGAGCACAACGCCTCCAACGGAATAGACAACTATATCGCTGGAGCTCAGGCAAAAGATGTTTTGGTTGTGCAGACACAAGTTCAGGCACTCGGCGACAAAGGTTTGCATCAATCTCACATTCAAAGCCGGCGAGCTCTTCACGGATGCCGTAGAAGCCGCGCCGGATGCTTCCAAAATCTCATCGAATTCATCCAGACTCTTCTCAATTTTCTGCAGACTGTAGGAGGATATGGAGCGTCCATTGCTCACGACCAAGCTGAGCTCATTCAAAGCCAGCGCAGTTACCGCAAAGTCCACCTCGACCGTGCACTGGCGTCCGCTACAGTGCGTCAGCTGGATACACTTGGCCGAGTTCTGTACTGCCCACAGGCTGCGCGTATGGCAGGCCAGCAGAGGTTGCTCTTTGAGCATGAAGACGCTCGATAAGCAGTTGACTAGAATGCACGGCTTGGCCAGCTCATTGTAGCCCCAGATGCAGCTCTTGATGGCACCCTGACGGGATAGCGAGGAAATGCTGCCCAATTGCCAGGCATCCTCTGGGGCGCTCACAAAGCAGCTAACTGTGCGCTTCCAAGTATACAGATTGCCCAGATTGGTGGCCGCGCACAGTGTCTGATTGGTGTTGCTGTAAGCGAGGCACGTGAAGATCTCATTGGAGTTTAGTTGCGCATACTTGGACATCTTGCGTGGCAGATTATTATTGCTGTTGCTCTCCACGCTGTTCTCATGACTGAAGAACGCATTGTTGTTTGAGGAGGAGGTGGCCGTCAGTCCGTTGCCTAAGCTAGGCAGCGATGAGCCAACGCTCTGCACACTAGAACTGGGCATATCCATTTTAAGCAGATAATTATCACTGCGCTCAATGTCCCAGATGCGCACGGATAAATCTCCCGTGATTATGGCCAAGCTGTTGCCCGCCCAAGCAATGGCACCATGCTTGCCCGTGCCCCGCCCGCTCAGCTTTACGCGATCCAACTCCGTCAATATGCCCGTGGACTCGACCAGGTATAGCATGATGGTCAAGTCATCTAGCAGGCAAATGACTGCATCCCTTAAAGAAAAGAAAACGTATTAAAAAAGAGCCAGTTAGGCTTACTCTCACATACTTCTTGGGATGCCACAGCATTTGCATGATGCATGGCTGATGCGGTCCGCCTTTCAGGACTTCGCTGCAGCTGCCGCCTTGATTGATGTAGTATGCCACGCCACCCTGCGTGCATGCATAGAAGCAGTGATTGTCCCGCACGCCCGAGTGTCCGCGCGCAGCTGTGCGTGGTCGCCAATTGGTGAGCGTGTCCAGCGCATTCTCATCGCCTGCGACTGCTGCTTTGGCTAGACTCGCCATCTCCTCGCGTACCTCGCTCTCGACCGTGCGGCGAAAGCAGACCAAAAGCAGGACCTCGCGTAGATCGTGCGAGAACATGGTAAGGAACTGATATTGGCCATCGCAGCGCCAACCTGTGACCAGGCCCATTGCATCCGCAGTCACCATGCGGCCGCCCTGCTCGCTGAATTCCAGCAACACTATGGCCGCCTTGTGTGGCCCACTGACGCTGGCGAATTCTCGATGACCGGCAAACCAGACGTGTATGTCACCATGCTCCCAGCCCGTGGCTAGCAACGCCTTCTCCGGATGCCAGCACATAGCAGTTGCTTGTGAGGTGGCGTGGACTGGATAAGTGACATCCCTTTGTGGTTCACCCTGGAGTAAAATGTTAGTCAATATAGAAATATTCATTCCAATTCAGTTGCCACTTACGGTATCTGCAAATATGGTCACACTGCCTCCTCGCTCCTGGCTGTACGAGGCAACTGCGAAGAGCGGCTCATTGGGATGCCAGCTACTGATGGTGCTCACTGCATCCGAGTCCAGGAACTCTATTTTTGTATCAAAATAGAGCGTCATCTTTTATATTTGCTTTTTGGTATCCTTTCCACTTGTCGTTGTTGGCCCAACAGACCGTTGGCCACAACAGACAACGGTTGCCATGACTGCTCCTTCGTGTTGCTGCAGCCCTGGATAAAGTATATTGCGATTAGTATAAAAATAGTAATTGTTGAAATACTTGAATAACAACTACATATATATAATGCAATCAGTAAACTAATTACATCTTCTCAATCAGATTTACGCTTGATGGCCCCTCTGTAATTCTACGCACATGATCGCTTAAAAACAAATTACACTGCTCAACAAAATAAAGCACGAAATAAATAAACGTTACTTCAAATATGAATAATTAGAATATTTTACCATTCCGAATATATTAATTTAATATATGTATTTTTATAAAGTGAAAAAGGGTTTAAATTGTTTCTATATACATATGTATATTATATCATGTATAAGCAGAAAAGGTTTATTATTTACTCTTGTTTTATGTTATTTTTATTTACTATTAACAAACCATTGTAATACGATTAAAATGAAATGAATACAAATATAAAAATACATCGAAATACCAACCCATATAATTTCATCACTAATTATATTGCAAACTCAAATATTTTGCTGAACAGTGTAACAGTGCAAAAGTCCATTATTTGCGATCACACTTATTCACACATGCAAACACAATGTGCGAGTATACAGCTATAAAATGCACACACACTATCGCACACGCACGTTGGATATACATACATACATACCTATCTTTCTGTGTGTATATTTGTTTGTACATATGAAATCACCGGCAACTTTTTCATTTTTCCATTGCAACGCATTAGCTAGCTAGAAACAAGCAGTTACAATTGAGTGGAGTGCAGCACTGGAAGAGCAACGTACGAAAAATGGCTGAAGAAAACACAACTAAAACTGCATTGAGAATTGCGGGTGCGGTCCTCTTGCCAAATCTAGGAGGCATGATTAATGGCCGATTGACGCGCAATCATTTGAAGAACTGGTATGCCAATCTAAACTTTCCATCGTTCAGGCCGCCAAACTGGGTGTTTGCTCCCGTTTGGACATCGCTCTACGCTGGCATGGGCTATGCTTCTTACCTGGTGTGGCGCGACGGCGGCGGCTTCAGCGGCGATGCCCAGTTGCCCTTGATCGCCTATGGCACTCAGCTGGCGCTGAACTGGGCGTGGACTCCGATATTCTTTGGCAAGCATAGCATTAAGGGCGTAAGTGGAAGATTTGTAGTTGACTTAGTGTTCTATTTCTTATCTATTCAATGACACCCATAGGGGCTTATTGACATTGTTGCGCTTACGGCAACGGCAGGCGCATGTGGACTGCTCTTCTATCGCATCAATCAGACGGCCGGTCTTTTGTTTTTGCCATACATGGCCTGGTTGGGATTTGCCACTGCATTGAACTATGCCATGTGGAAGCTGAATCCTGAGCAGCCCAATCAAGGTGAGCAAGCTGCTCCGTCGCGCAAGCAGCAATAATTGCTGATTGATACAGGTCATAAGGTTTTTGTTTTAAAATGTTTATTTTTCGATAGAAAATGTAATCGTCACAAAATAAAATCGCATCGGCATTATCGATAAGTTGCAGAGTTGCATATGCGGCACACTGTCCATCATTCTGCTTCTTCATCTTCGCCGAACGTTAATTTTTGAAAATGCACTGAAATCATATTTAGTTGGCGCCACCGCCAGGAGCTGCAGTGGGGGTCGTTGGTGTGCCTGCTTTAGGGGAGGCCGTCTTTGGCGAAGCACCCGCTTTAGGCGATGGCGACGCCTGCGAATTGGGCGTGTTTGCTGGCGTCTTCGGTTTGCCATCGTTCTGTCCACCAGCCTTTTGCTGCTGTTGTTGAGGATTCGTTTTAGAACCAGCTGGTTGCTGTTTTGGTGGCGAAGCCTTGTTTCCCTTGCCCTGCTGCTGCTGCTGCTGTTGAGCATTTATAGGTTTTGCACCACCTGGCTTGGAAGCTTGAGTTTCTGGTTTGGGTGCAACCGCGGGCTTGGCTTGTTGTGGTAGCTTCTGCTGTTGTGGTTTGTTGCCACCCGAGTTCGCTTGTGATTGCTTTTGACCTTGTTGATGTGTTTGGCCAGGCTTTGCTTGCTGCTGTTGTTGCTGCTTGGGCTTTTGGGCTGCGTCCTGCTTTTTATTATTGGGTGCTGCTGCTTGTTTTTGTGCAGGAGCTACTGGTGAAGTAGCTGGAGCTGCTGTGGGAGCTGCTGTTGCTGGTGGAGTAGCTGGAGCTGCTGAGGGAGCAGCTGTTGCTGGTGGAGTAGCTGGAACTACTGGGGGAGCAGCTGTTGCTGGTGGAGTAGCTGGAGCTGCTGAGGGAGCAACTGTTGCTGGTGGAGTAGCTGGAGCTGCTGTAGGACCAGCAGTTGCTGGTAGAGTAGCTAGAGCTGCTGGGGGAGCAGCTGTTGCTGCTGGAGTAGATGGAGGACCAGCAGTTGCTGGTGGAGTAGTTGGAGCAGCTGTAGGACCAGCAGTTGCTGGTGGAGTTGCTGGAGCAGCTGTAGGACCAGCAGTTGCTGGTTGAGTAGCTGGAGATGCTGGGGGAGCAGCTGTTGCTGGTGAAGTAGCAGGAGCTACTGTTGCAGGGGGAATAGTTGGAGCTGCTGCTAGTGTCTGTCCCGGTGCTACTGTAGAGACAACTGTTGTTGCTGAAGTTGCTGAAGCTGCTGCTGTTTTTTGTTCAGGTGCAACAGTCGGAGCAATTGTGGCAGGAGCAGTAAGAGGCGCTGCTGCTGTTGGTGCTACTACTTGAGCTGGAGCCGGAGCTAGAGATGCTGGTGGTGTTGCGATTGGAGCTGGAGTCAGAGCTGCTAATGATGCTACTGTTGGGGTTGGAGCTGCTGATGGTGCTGCTTTTGGAGCTGGAGCTGCTGTAGATTGAGTTGCAGCTGGAGCTGCAGATGCTGCTGGCTGCACTGCTAAGGGAACAGTATTAGCTGAACCTACTGGAGCTGGTACTGCAGCTGTTGATGTTGGAGTAGAGACCACTGCAGCTGCTGCAGGTGGAGCAGCAGTAGGAGTTGCTGGGGGCGTCACTTGCTTTGCCGGTTGAGGCGTCACTGGCTTGGCTTGTTTTTGAGCTTGTGGTGGAGCTGCCCCCTTCTTACTTTCTGATTTCTTTTCCTGTGGCGCTTTGGCTGCAGCTGGCTGTTGCTTCAATTGCTCCACTGGAGCTTTTGCCTCAGCTGGCGGCGTAATCTGCTTTGTAGGTGCCGGTGACTGCTTGGGTGGAGCAGCCTGCTGTGGGCTGGCTTCCTTTGGCTTAGGCTCCGGTGCAGCAGCTGTTTTCTGCTCCTGCTTGGTGGCGTCTGCCTTTACATCAGTTTTTGCTGAAGCTGGCGCTGGTTTCTGCTCAACTAGGCGCTCAGCTTTTTTTTCTTCAACAGGCTTGGGCGGTTCGGCGGCTACAATCTGGGCTAATGTTTGCATAGTTGGCGTTGTATTGGTCTTGGCAGCTGTAGCAGCAGCTGGAACAGCAGCTGGAGCAGCAGCTGGAGCAGCAGCTGGAGCTGGTTGCGGTGCTGAAGCGGGTTGAATTTTTGGCTCAGGAGTTGATTTCTCCACTTCAACCTTTAGATTATCCACAGCAACGGCTGCTGGCTTGACCTCCGTCTTAGCAGCATCCAACTGATTCTTTTGCTTATTGTTCTGCGGCTCGTCCTTCTTTTCTGCTGTCTCCTGCTTCTTGGGCTGGCCTTTCTTATTGTCCTGTTTATCCTTGGGCTTCTCATTCGTATTGTTGAGCTTCGGTTGTGGTTGCTGCTGCTGCTGTTGTTGCTGCTGCTTCTGTTGCTGTTGTTGCTGCTGCTGCTTCTGTTGCTGTTGTTGCTGTTGCTGCTGTTGCTGCTTCTTCCGCTCCTGTTTGTTGGGTTGCTGTGTTTGCTTATTCGCCTTCTTTGCATCCTGGGGCTTCTCTGTGGCAGGCTTTGGCTGCTGTTCCTTGCCCGCAGCTTCGGCCTCCTGCTTGGCCACCTCATCGAAGTCGCCCACCAAGTCGGGCACATCATCGTCATCGTCGGCCGCCTGAGCTGTCGCTGTGCCGCTTTCAGTGGACTTTTGATTGTTGGACATGGAGTTGGCATACATGCGCAGCTGCACAACCGTCTCCTGGCCGAGCTGTGGCAGAATCTCTGGCAGCATTTCGACAACTTTCTTGGTTTCGCCGTGACCCGTGACGGCAAAGGTGTTCGCTGAGAGCGAGGCCTGGGCCTTGGGATTGTTGAAGTGTATGACCGTGAGGTCATCCTTGATGATGTTGACCTCCTCGATGCCGGGTATAGTGCTCACCGAGAGCTTCTTCAACGAGCTCTGCAGCTTCTTGTCATCGGTGGCCGCCGTCTGGTGCATGACCTTCTTTTTGCGACGGGGCGTGCCTTTGCCACCGATGCGCACCTGCGCTTGCAGCCTTTTCAGCTTCTCCACATTCATGGCGAGTCTCTAATGAATATTCATATAGATATATATTTATATATCTAATATAATATTACATAAAATTATCAAGGGATTACCTCAGATATATCTATTCAGTTTTTGATCCGCTCCTCCGACGTGCAACTCCACGTACGTAAGAGCCAAATGCGAATAAATGCAGCCGGGGCAAACCGATCCGCAGCATAGAACGACCGACCGACCGACCAGCGCCCAAAGCCCCAACCAAAGCAGCGCTGCTGTTATTAATAACGCAACTCGGCGAATCTTTCGCCTGCTTTATTTTTGTGGCACTTTTTGCATTTTTGTTTTTGCACACAAAACAATAAAAATAAAATGCGAAAGCGAAAAGCGAAATACAAAAATGTCGCCCGACTATATAAATAGCCCAGATTCTCTGCCATGGCACGCGGCAGCCGCTGCTACCATTTGTTTAGTTGCCTGCTCAGTGCTCTGCAGCTAGCCGTGTGGCAAAAACCAAAGCAAAGCAAACGAAACCCTAGTTTGCAGCATCCTCATCGGCTGTTGAACTATTGGCGACGCACTGGATCGCAGACGCATCCGAGGCAGTGCGTCAAAAATAGACGAACTACAATCAACGCACACATGCACACAGGTCAAACTTTCAATCTACGAGAGTGAATACATACACTTACACATATATGGTATATATGCATTCATATATACATATATATATATATATATATATATATATATATTTATATATAGGAAATTCGTGTATTCAATTAAATTCACATATAGCTCAAGAAACAAGAAAGAAAATTGATATACGTAATGCCGAAAGGATGAATACACTTTTAGACCTATAGATGATAGACAGAGCTTTGGGATTTCATATATGATCTATGAATATAAAAAACTATTGTAATATATAAGACATTTGTCTATTTATAGTAGAGCTTATGTTAACAAATGTTTCGAAATTTCGAAATCCCAAATAGTTTTCATACAATATTCAATTTGCTTGTTTCTATGACAGCTCTATGATGTAGCTAGCCAAGCAATCCCTCTTGGATGTACTAAAAGCCAAACAAATCTGTGTATTGCAAGAAAATAATGTAAGCTTGAGAGAATACTTTTTCTACAGAAAGAGTGATATGTAGGCTGAACAACTGTCAATTCGGACTAAAAAAATAAATGTTTAAATGAAATAAAATTATCTTTTGTACAGTACAACTAGGTATATGGCATAGTAGGAAGATATTCAGTGAATTCCTAGCTTAACATATATTTACATAATTTGTTATAGATATCTTAAATACAATCAAATGTATATATAGATATGCTGGCGTTATATAAACTATTTTCTGTCGTTTTTGCGTTACACATTTTACAATATAATTAAAATACCCAACTAAAAGGGCATACGAATTTAATGACGAATGATGAATTATAGTTTTGTTTTGAAAATAGAGTACAGTAGAAGCTCGAAAGACAGCTTAGTTATTATATTAGAATGCTAAGAATGTTAATTTATTATTTGGACTTCAATAATTAGGAAGATTTTTGAATTGGCAAACATGTACTTACATAGAAATATTGTTAGGTTACAAGTATACACTTATTTGTATTTATAACTGTAGACACATCTCATATCCCTAAGTCCAGTATTCCACTTACTGCTTAAACATATAATACTTAATTATTAGAAAGCATGAATAGGAGCAATTTACAAGAGTTTCTGATCCTTTGCCACACGCATTGCGAATTTGTATATCTTTTTGATGTCGGAATTCGCACAAGCAGCATAAATTTGCTTATGCATCTCCAGCTCCTGTTGCACGAGCGGCTCTATGTCCCTGTACTTATCCTCCTCTGCCTTCAGCTCAGCCAACATAGCTAAGTTCTGGAAATGTTAAAATAATATTAGTACAAAGATTAACAGAAATTAAATGGCAACAACCTGACGATAACGTAGCTTCAGCTCTTTGACCTGTGCAGCCTTTGCCGCTTCCTCTTCACTGGTGAATCGCTGTTCCAGCTCAAAGTCTTTGATCTGCAGCACATGCGGAGGCACCTCAAAATAGACTTTGTCCATTTCACGCAGGCCATCAAGTTTTGGCTGACAGGCTTGCATCATTAGGCGAATGACAGCATCCTTACTCTGGTCCAGTAGTGCAGTTGTAGCTGGCGTTTCAATTTTCTGAATCGTTGTCTTTACAGCTCGGCCGATGAGCGCTAGAACTAGACTGTCCCCTAAGAGAAAATATCAAATTGTTTAGAAACTTGTTCATTGTGTTTTGTACCACCTACTTTCAGCAGCTATCTGTTCTGGCGTGAAGTTAAAAAACTCCACATTGTAGGTACTCTGATTGAAATCCATTGCTACTGCTTTATGTATTATTTTATTCAAAACAAAAACGTAAACAAAACGACGCTTAAATTGCGCGTATTAAATACAAGCCGATAAGTCGAATAGGGGATAATCAACTTGTTATCGATATATTGTTTGAGAATAGTTTGTCTAGTGTGATTAAAATTTTAAACGGTTTTATATATATTTTTATTGGTATTGTTTAAAAGCATTAACAGAATATTGGAATATTATTTTCGTGTCCAAAATTTTTCAAGTTTGTCTCATTTTAAAAGATTGTATGTTTATTCATGAAATCACTTGAAAAATACTAAATTTAATACCAGTTTTAAGTGCTGTACAGTGCATAAGCAGCGAATGCCCGCCAGTTAGATCCACTTGTTATGATAACCACATGTAATTCATATTGGCGCTAACGATATTTATTGCTTGTCAAGAGCAGCATGATTGCAAAGTCAGCATAATTAAAATATTAATTCGTCATAAAGATTAGTTCATTGCTATCAATGCGTCGAAGTTCCTGCCGCGTATTTCGCGCGCTCACCCGCACCTTTTCCACCAAACAACAAATTGTTGTGCATCCAGACGTGCGGCATGCCTTGGCCCAGAAGCAGCCTGTCGTGGCGTTGGAGTCGACAATTATAACGCATGGCATGCCAATGCCTGAGAATGTGGAAACTGCCCTACTGGTGGAACAGGATGTACGTAGAAATGGCGCTGTCCCGGCTACCATTGGCATCATTGATGGGTGCATCACGGTGGGATTAACGCAGGAGGAACTTATGGAGCTGGCGCGTAAGCCTCGCGAGCAAGTTATCAAATGCTCACGCCGTGATCTGCCCTACGTAGTGAAAATGGGTCAGAGTGGAGGCACCACTGTGGCGGCCACCATGATTGTGGCTCATCGCGTTGGCATTCCCATCTTTGCCACCGGCGGCATTGGTGGAGTGCATCGTGAGGGTCATATCACGTTGGATGTGTCCGCGGATCTCGTCGAGCTGGGACGTACGCCGGTGGCTGTGATTTGCAGCGGCGTCAAGTCCATATTGGATATACCGCGTACGCTCGAGTATTTGGAGACGCAGGGCGTCTGTGTGGCCACCTATGCAAGTGAGGGTGGCGTCTTTCCCGATTTCTACACGCGCGATAGTGGGTGCAAGGTTCCCTATAATCTGCCCACCGCGGAGCATGCTGCTCAACTGCTACGTGCCTGGCAACAGCTCAATTTACAGTCCGGCGTACTTATAGGAGTGCCCATTCCAGCGGAGCATGCTGCCGATAAGTCGGCTATAGATGCGGCCATCAAGCAAGCCAATGCTGAAGCGTTAGCTCAAGGCATTACAGGAAAGGATGTAACACCTTTTCTGCTGGCGCACATCGCCCGGCTGACCAAAGGGCGCAGCCTGCAGGCGAACATAGCGCTCATCCGGAACAATGCATCGGTGGCCGCACAAATCGCCTGCGAGCTGGCGAAAGAACAAAGTTCTACTACGAGCCGAAAGAGTTCCATAAAGAAGCCTTTGGTGGTGGGCGCTTCCATACTAGATTTGTCCTTCAAGATTACTGAGAAGCGTAACTTGCATTTGGATGGCGCCACGTACTCTGGTGTAGCCAAGCAGGCAGCTGGCGGCGTTGGACGCAACATAGCCGAGGGCATCTACAAGCTTTATGGTGATGTTAATCTCATCTCGGCTGTGGGCAGGGATCAGTTGGGAGAAATACTGCGCCAGCTGATGCCACAGACCCTGCAAAATAGCCTCATTGTGGATGAGAGCCACGCCACATCCCTCTGCTCGGTGGTGTTCGATCAGTCAGGCGATTGCAAACTTATCCTGGGTGATATGGAGGTGCACAACAGCATCACGCCGCAGTTGCTAAAGGAGCGATCTAATCTCTTTCGAGATGCGCCCCTCATTGTAATGGATAGCAACATTTCAGAGCAGGCGATGACCTGCATGTTGGAGCTAGCGAAGCACTACCAAGTGCCCATTTTTTTCGAACCCACTGACATGTTCATAGCCGGCAAGCCGTTCAAGCTGCCTCCAGAACTCACGCGGCACATTCGATTGACCAAGCCTAATATCCATGAGCTCAAGACCATTGTGGAGACCATCACGGGGCAGTCTGTCAACTGGGAGCCCAATACGAAAGTGGAACGCTCAGAGCTTTTGGCGCAGGCCAAGCAGCTGCTCCACCAAATCGAGTCCCACTTCAATTGCATCATTGCCACTCTGGGGGCGCACGGTGTGCTGCTCAGCATTCGCTCCGATGCCGCCCATGATACGAGCAAGCTACTCTCACTCTCGCCCAGCTGTGAGCACATCACGCACTTCTATGCGGCACCAAAGCTGAGCAACATAGTCAATGTCTCCGGCGCCGGCGACAGTTTCTGTGCGGGCTTCATCACAGCGCTGCTCAGGTCGCACAGCCTGGACGAGTGCGTCGCAGCGGGATTTGTGTCTGCCGAGCGAGCTTTGCTCTCGGAGTCGGCGGTTCCGTCCACCTATTTCCAAAACGAACTGGCATTCGAGAGTAGCTTTCGAGACGCTTTGCAAACGCTGCAACGGCACAGCCTCTAAACAGACTGACAGGCGGAACGCGTAGAGTTGAACTCGGGGTTCTAACTTTATTGTTTAAATAAATGTATAAGATTATATCGATGCTCCATGGGAAAGTCGTTAATGGGCCCATCTGCAAGAATGGCAATAAATGTGATTAATTTTGACCTGAATAGAAATTAATGGATTCTTTTAGACTTACAGCTTGATCACCTTGTCCTTGCCGCCGGAGGCGACACGCGAGCCATCGGGTGCCCAGTCCACGCCGAAAACTTCGTCCGCATGGCCGGGCAGCTCCTGTGCCAGCTTCTTGCTCTGCACGCTCCAAACTATAGTGTATAAATATAAATTTTATATAATTATGTCTAGTCGATCAGTCATATAAGCAACAGATTTACCCTTCAGTGTAGAGTCCTTGCTGCCGGACACAATCAGACGCGAATCCGCCGACCAGGCCAGCGTGTACACAGCCTGCACATGGCCACGGAATGTGGCTATAAACTGGCCATCGTGGGCGCGCCATAGACGCACGGATTTGTCGAAGGATGCGGAGGCGATCAGTTTGACATCCGGCGAATACTTGACATCGTTCACCACATTCTGGTGGCCAGTCATGCGTTCCACGCACTTGTTTTGATTGTTGCGCCACAAGTATAAGGTGTTGTCGTCGGAGCAGGAGACTAGCGACTCAACATCATCCGGGCAAACGGCTTGGTAGCGTTTTAAAGCGGCTGCGCGTAACTCCTCAGCTGAAAATGGATTTGATTTAATACGGCGATACGAGAGATACGCCGCGTCACTCACCATCCTGCTTGATCTGTGCCATTTGCCGATCCTTGACCGGCTGAAAGGGTCCAGTGCGTAGAACGTAGTCTGTGCTCAGCGCAATGTTGTTCACCCAATGCGCATGGCCAGTAAAGGTGCGGCAGAGCACGCCATCATCGGCGCGCCACATCTTGATGGTGCGATCCTTGGATGACGTATAGATTAAGCCAGCTCCACCCCAGCGGACAGCTGTCACTGCGTTCGTGTGCCCCGCAATGTTGAGCAGACACTGTCCCAGTTTGGTATCCCAGATGCGGCAGTCGCCGTCGCTACTTGCCGAGGCAAGCTTGCGGCATTCTGGATTCTTATGATAGGGCTCCCAGCTGAGGCAATTGATGTGCTTCTTGTGTCCGCTGAGTGTGCGGCCCACCTGTTGACCTGTCTCTGGATCCCAAATAATAATTTTTCCTGCCTTACAGGCGCTCGCCAGACGCTTGCCATCCGGCGCCCAGGCGACGCACAGCACCCACTGCTTGTGTCCACTGCAGGTGTAGTGCGGTGTCTCTGTATTGAGATCCCATAGGCGCACTGTAGTGTCGCCACTGCCACTGGCCAAGTGGGCTCCATTGGGGCTAAAGTGCAGCGACACAATCGCCTCTGCATGGCCTGGCATAGAGCTGGTGCAACGCGTCACAGGCCGAACCTTGAAAACTGCCTGTGGCTGATATACTATATCGATCACATTTTCCGTGTCCACTGTGCTTAGGTCGATAGTCTCCTCCAATGACTTCTTGATCTCATCCTCGCCCACGAAGAACAGATAAGGCGTCGCCTCCTCATTCTTGAGCAATGCATTGCAGATGAGCCCCAGTTGCTGTGTTGTGATGCCCGAGGGCAGATCTATGGGCGGACCCGCTTCCTCGCCTGTGTCGGATATGAGGCGTGCTTGAAGTGTGTGCGGCGTGGATAGCATCTGTTCGGTTTGATCTTCCATTTTCTGCTTTTTAGCCAACATTTTGCGATGTGGAATGTCGAATCAGCGCGAACGAATCAAAACAACAAAATCAAAACACGTGCGCTACTCGACTGCTGGACTTAACAGAAGACGAAAGTGTTAATAACAGTGGGAACAGTTTTCAGAACAAAACGATTGGCATTAGTAAGTTGGTAGGAAGTGCATAAGGTAGTTAATGCTGACGTAGTGTTAAATAACTTAAGATATCTTTTAAAATGCATCTCACCGAAAAAAGTTCTGTCACATTTCATTTTTAAAATAACCGCTACAGGCTTTAACAGTGCTATGCGAGTATGCAATAACACTGATATCGAATATCGACTGCTGGAACCCAATAAGGTGTTGTATAACGTCTCTTATATGTAAGTATTTTACAGCACTGTCGCACAATTTTCATGTACGCGTTTTTCATACGTTTGTTGCCTAAAAATTGAATAAAATGGAAAATATTCCGCGTACTCATGAAGGTAAATAAATATAATATGCAAAGCTAAGGGCGGAACAACTTAGACTACCATGTATTGCTTGTAGCGTGTTTAAAAACACTTCAAGCATCCGTTCGGCGCCCGAATTCCCGCAATGCTAAGAAAATCAATTTTAATATTTTAAAATCGTATTACAGATATTGAGGCGCAAATATCGGATATACAGGCCAAGAAGACTGAGCTGGCTAAGAGCAATGCAGCCGCCGCCGGTGTTGGTTTGCTGGATAGTGGTGGCTTCTTTGACACCGACTTGTACGACGATGAGGCGGCCGTAGGCAAGGGGGCCAAAGGCCGCTATGAGGGTTACAATACGTCGATAGCGGCCAATGATGAGGATGGCGACGAGGATGAGGAGGACGATGGCTTTCCAGTGCCGCAGAAGCGCACTACATACACGGCACCCACGTCCGTACTGAAGGATGTGACCCAGGGCAAGGAGGACGTCGACCCAATGGCTGAGCACCGGCGACCGACCATAGCAGATCGGGAGGATGAGTACAGACAAAAGCGACGACGCATCATCATTTCGCCTGATCGTGCCGATCCCTTTGCTGATGGCGGTAAAACGCCCGATGTGGGTTCTCGCACCTATACAGACATTATGCGTGAGCAGATGCTAAAGGGCGAGGAATCTGAGCTGCGACGTCGCATCATGGAAAAGTCTAAGGAAGGTACACTGGTTAAGTCCTCGAATGGGGAGTCTGTGACAAAAGAAGGTGGACGCAAGCGAGGACGCTGGGATCAGACGGTCAGCGACAGCTTCATTCCCGCTAAAGTGGCAGCCACGCCCAGCAGTGCTGCAACGCCTACCTGGGAAGACGTGAGTAAACATAAATTGACTGTGACACTGGACGCGTGTAACTAAAATCTATTTTCTTACAGAAAACGCCTGGAGATCATCGTTGGGATGAGACCCCTGGCCACAAGGGCAGCGAGACGCCGGGTGCCACGCCTGGACTGGGCACACGTATCTGGGATGCCACACCGGCACATGCCATGACACCCGGCCACGAAACGCCTGGCCATGAGAAGTCGGCACGCAGAAATCGTTGGGATGAAACACCAAAGACGGAACGCGAAACGCCTGGGCACAGCGGCTGGGCAGAGACACCAAAACCGGATCGCACGGGAAGCGGGGCCGGTGAGAGCATCTCAATCGAATCCACTCCGGGGGCCTCCAAGCGACGGTCGCGCTGGGATGAGACGCCCTCGAATGCAACGCCGGCTATTACACCGAGTAATGCCAGCGCAATGACTCCGAGCATGACGCCTCATGCAACGCCTGGGCATGCCACACCTCTGATGACACCTGGTGGAAGTACGCCCGTGGGCGTAAAGGCAATGGCCATGGCTACACCTACACCAGGAGCACTAGCTGCCATGACACCGGAGCAGCTCCAAGCCTATCGCTGGGAAAAGGAAATTGATGAACGCAACAGACCATACACTGACGAGGAGCTGGATCAAATGTTTCCGCCGGGCTACAAGATATTGCCGCCGCCTGCAGGCTACGTGCCACTGCGAACGCCGGGTCGCAAGCTGATGGCCACACCCACTCCCATAGCGGGCACGCCAGCTGGCTTCTTTATCCAAGTGGAGGACAAGAATGCCAAGTTTATGGACAACCAGCCGAAGGGCCAGAATTTGCCGTTTATGAAGCCCGAGGATGCCCAATATTTTGACAAGTTGCTCGTGGATGTCAACGAGGATGCTTTGTCGCCCGAAGAGCTCAAGGAGCGCAAGATTATGAAGCTTCTGCTGACTATTAAGAACGGTTCGCCGCCCATGCGTAAATCGGCTCTGCGCCAGATGACGGACAAGGCGCGTGAATTTGGCGCCGGGCCGCTGTTTAATCAAATTCTGCCGCTGCTTATGTCGCCCACCCTGGAGGATCAGGAACGGCATCTGTTAGTGAAGGTCATCGATCGCGTGCTCTACAAACTGGATGATCTGGTGCGTCCGTTCGTGCACAAAATCTTGGTGGTCATTGAACCGCTGCTAATTGACGAGGATTACTATGCGCGCATTGAGGGCAGAGAGATCATTTCGAATCTGGCCAAGGCAGCTGGTTTGGCAACCATGATCTCCACAATGCGTCCGGATATTGATAACATTGATGAGTACGTGAGAAACACGACTGCGCGTGCCTTTGCCGTGGTCGCATCCGCATTGGGCATACCCTCGCTGTTGCCCTTCTTGAAGGCCGTTTGCAAGTCCAAGAAGTCCTGGCAAGCTCGTCACACGGGCATCAAAATCGTCCAACAGATTGCTATTCTTATGGGCTGCGCCATATTGCCGCATCTTAAGGCGCTGGTGGAGATCATCGAACACGGACTAGTCGACGAGCAGCAAAAGGTGCGCACCATTACGGCCCTGGCCATTGCAGCGCTGGCCGAAGCAGCCACGCCCTATGGCATTGAATCCTTCGATTCGGTGCTTAAACCCTTATGGAAGGGTATTCGGACGCATCGTGGCAAGGGATTAGCTGCCTTTCTCAAGGCCATTGGTTATCTCATACCCCTGATGGATGCCGAATATGCCAATTACTACACCCGTGAGGTCATGTTGATTCTTATACGTGAGTTCCAGTCGCCCGACGAGGAGATGAAGAAGATTGTGCTGAAGGTGGTGAAGCAATGCTGTGCCACGGATGGTGTGGAGCCACAGTACATCAAAGAGGAGATTCTACCGCACTTTTTCAAATTCTTCTGGAATCATCGCATGGCACTGGACAGACGCAATTATCGCCAGCTGGTGGACACCACCGTGGAAATTGCTAACAAAGTGGGCACCTCCGAGATCATTAATCGTGTTGTAGATGATCTGAAGGATGAGAATGAACAGTATCGCAAAATGGTCATGGAAACAGTGGAGAAGATTATGGGTAACCTTGGAGCGGCTGATATTGACTCCAGGCTGGAGGAGCAGTTGATCGATGGCATACTCTATGCCTTCCAGGAGCAGACCACAGAGGATGTGGTCATGCTGAATGGCTTCGGTACCATTGTCAATCAGCTGGGTAAACGCGTCAAGCCGTATTTGCCACAGATTTGCGGTACGATTCTCTGGCGTCTGAACAACAAATCCGCGAAGGTGCGTCAACAGGCGGCGGATCTCATCTCCCGCATTGCTGTGGTCATGAAAACCTGCCAGGAGGAGAAGCTGATGGGCCATTTGGGTGTGGTGCTCTACGAATACTTGGGCGAGGAGTACCCCGAAGTCTTGGGCAGCATATTGGGCGCCCTGAAGGCAATTGTGAATGTCATTGGCATGACCAAGATGACGCCACCCATAAAGGATCTGCTGCCCCGCCTCACGCCCATCCTCAAGAACAGACACGAGAAGGTGCAGGAGAACTGTATCGACCTGGTGGGTCGCATTGCCGATCGTGGTCCGGAGTATGTGTCTGCTCGCGAATGGATGCGCATCTGCTTTGAGCTGCTGGAGCTGCTTAAGGCACACAAGAAGGCGATTCGACGCGCCACCGTAAACACCTTTGGTTACATAGCCAAGGCGATTGGCCCACACGATGTGCTTGCCACCCTACTGAATAACTTGAAGGTCCAAGAGCGTCAGAATCGTGTCTGCACCACCGTCGCCATTGCCATTGTGGCCGAGACATGTCGCCCGTTCACAGTGCTTCCGGCCTTGATGAATGAATACCGCGTGCCGGAGTTGAATGTGCAGAATGGTGTCCTGAAATCGTTATCCTTTCTGTTCGAGTACATTGGCGAGATGGGCAAGGACTATATCTATGCAGTGTGCCCGCTGCTCGAGGATGCGTTAATGGATCGCGATCTGGTGCATCGCCAGACAGCCTGCTCGGCCATCAAGCACATGTCCCTGGGCGTCTATGGCTTTGGCTGCGAGGATGCGCTCACACACTTGCTCAACTATGTGTGGCCCAACATATTCGAGACATCGCCGCATCTGGTGCAGGCCTTCATGGACTCGGTGGACGGCCTACGTGTCTCATTAGGTTCAATTAAGATCTTGCAGTACACGCTACAGGGCCTGTTCCATCCGGCGCGGAAGGTGCGCGATGTTTACTGGAAGATCTACAATTCGCTGTACATTGGCGGTCAAGATGCGCTCATTGCGGGTTATCCTCGCATCACCAACGATCCGAAGAACCAGTATGAACGCTATGAGCTGGACTACACGCTCTAAGCAGCCCTACTCTACTCCTACCCCCTTCTCTATAACACTTAATTTTACTGTAATTTTGATAAGATGAATACACAAATATAGCACGAATGTACAAAACGAGTATTTATTCTAAATTTTTGTTTAAAGTAGCCACGTGTGAGCTGTTGCTACTGTGGACCAGAGCTGTAATATATATAGTATATAATTCATTACCAGGAAATACTTTTTAATTACCAGGAATTTCAAGTTGACAAACTTTAATTACTTCTTTTTATTACTTGATGCATCGTGTTTAACTACCAGCAATTACTTGCAAGTTTATTAAATGTATATAAATGGTATGTAATTCAGTTTATTTTAATTTTGTAATTACTTTGCGTAAATGCAGCTAATTACTAGCAATTACGTATGCCTACTGCATTGGTAATTAAAGTTTAATCTATGTGTATGCAGTTATTTTATAATTACTTTTCAATTGCATATTTAATTCATTAAGTACAGTTTTGGCTTCGCTACTGAGCAATTGTGAAGTAATTGTAATGAAATTTGATTTATCAAGTAATTTTTAGTTTGCAAAAATGTCTTTTCTTGTCAACTAGTTAATTACAGCTCTGCTGTGATCTAATCTTTTGGCTTAGTGGTAATACAAATGTGTGTGTGTGTTTTGGACCCGCCGGCTGAGCAGTCTCCCGGTGCCTGTTATCGGTGGAGCATCGCCTCGACTATATCGATGAGGCTCTGTAGCCCGAACATATAATTGTGATCGGGCTGTGCATCCTCGGCCGGGAAGATGTGAGCGAAATCGATGCAGCGTACGCGTATCCATTCTTTCGATTTGGTGGGCAGGACAGGCTCTGCGACATCCGCATGGAAGCCATTGTGCAGCGACACTTTGGAGTTGGATGTGGCCAGCTTCTGTAGCTGCTCGAAGTCGTAGCAGATGAGCAGAGAGCTGGCGTAGAAATGAAATAAACGCTGTTGCTTAAACCAGGTGCGTATGGAACGCAGCTGGTTCAGCACCTCGTGGAGAAGCACATTGCTGGAGCTGCAGCTGGCATTAAAGAAGAGGGCCAATGCCTTCTGAAAGCCCATCACATCCAGGCTTTTGCCATAGTCTCGACCCTTGCGAATCAGTACAGTTTGTTCGGGTTGCTCTTCATCCGGGCAATAGACCTGAAAGCCGGGCAGGCATAGTCCCAGATTTTGTTTGCAAAGCGCATACTTTTGCTCCTCGATGGTGCGCTTCTCCAACGATGACAATGGATCCCAGGTGCGTCGGCCAATTTTCACATCCATGACACACGGCTTGGCCATGCCGTGTGTCAAGTCTTCTAATTTGATAAATGTGTGCTCACGCTGATTAACAACCAGTTTGAGTTGACCATAATAGCGGGGGACGTGAGCTGCTAATGCGGCGAGCAGTGACTGATCCGTTTCGCCTTTCCCCTCACCACCTGCACCATTCAGGTTATTGGCCCCGGCGTCTGCCTTGGCTTGTGTCGCAATTGCCGCCGCCAGTGACTCATAGAAATTGAGTTCACGTACGCCGCACTCAGGTTTGCCAAGCGGCTTGAAAACGCAGCCCTCGCCAGCGTCTTGGAGCAGCCCGACGGCGGCTGCATTGGTCGCTTCGAATGTGTGGCCTGCCACCTGGGTGAGCAGCTGAGAGTAGCCCATGGGTACAATGGGCGATGCTGTTACCTTTTCTTGTGCTTTTTTGGCCATGCTCCGTCTGTCTGGCACTCAAAATCAAAAGCAACAGCAACAACTGCAACAAAAACAGCGCAAAACCCAGAGCAGTGTTGTGAAGCGCGCGGCTGATTATAATAGTGGTTTTCTTTTGTGGCTGAGCTCATATAAAACTGGAAGTCAAGTGATGAATGAAAATAATTAATTTTTTAACAATTGCAAATACGTCTTTAGTTGCAGTGCAGCTTCTTACTTATGGCGGCAATTTATGAAAATCAGTGCTGCGAAATCTGTGCAGCAACTTGTTGTGCATTTATCGTTATCGAGCAGCATCTATCGATATCGGACGCTGCTGTTGTGGGAGTTGTCCAATTTGTGTTGTTGCCTTTATACGCACATATTTTCTAAGTTTATTTACCAATTTGTTATTGCGTTTTCCTGACTTAGCTTGCAAAACTGCGAGCTGCATCATGAAATCATGGGAAATAGCTGTGCTGCTGCTAGCGGCCGTGTATCTGTGCAGTCAAGGTAGGTCTATCGCCACACCTTAATTAAGAAACGAACGCAATGACACATGTGAGACAATTTGCAGTTGATTTTGTGCAGGGACTCGAGTGCTATGTCTGCTCCAACCAGACGGGCAACACAGAGAAGTGCCTCAACACGATCAAGACCTGCGAGCCGTTTGAGAACGTCTGCGGCACTGAAATACGCTGGGGCAGCCAGCCCTACTTCTCCGAGGGCGCTCTCAAGCAATACTACGTCTCCAAGCGATGCATGACCAAGGAGCAATGCCAGTCGAAGCGCCGACGCTACATGCAAATGTATTGCACACACATCTGGTACGAGGACTGGGCGTGCAACGAGTGCTGCCAGGGCGACAGGTGCAACTACTTCATTATCGTAAGTTGGGCGTTGGCCTAGGCTCGGACTCCCTATTAATATGTTAAATTTTGCAGAGCGGAGCGACGGGTCAACAGAGTCACATGCTTAAGTTCTTAGCTCTGCTACTGGGCCTGGGACTGTTCATAAGACGCTGCATCATGCCCTAGAGCTCAAATGAAGCTAGTTTCCAACTTTTTCTTCTACGCACATTCACATTCCAAGGAAGCAAGGAATCGTAATTGTAATTATAATTGTAAAACCTTCTCATTTTGTCCACTAGTTAGTAGTTACCACTGTATACCGTCCATTGTATGTACATTTTGTATGTAGCTAACAAGCTCAAAGTGCCTTCACTCTCTCAGTTTTATTTTGATATATCTAAGGCTTGTTAAAGTTTATAGTTTATATTTAAGATTGCAAATTATATCTAATTATGTGCAGTGTAAGCTACTAGCACAATTCGTAAGTAGGCTTAAGCTGGTTTTTATGCTGCTGCTATAATCTTTGCAATCTCGAACTTTTTACTAAAACTTTAACTTGTCCTTATTAGTTTTTAGTCCACGAACTCGAATCATACGAAATTCTCGAAGATTTTTAACACAAACCTCTTTTGGGTAACGATTTTTGAAATAGATAAACGTACAAAACAGCTAAAAACTAACGCGTTTTCTTTAAGCGGTCTCTTGTGCAATCGTTTAAATATTATATTTCATATATGTATCATCATAAAAGTCATTCATTTAGCTAGTTGGTGCAGAAGCAACCCGCAGTGACGGTCACCGTCTTGAATTGCCATTGCCAGAGCTGTGTCAGCTCCTCGGGCATCCACAAACGCGCCGATGAGGAGGCCGCCTTTGATGTCATCTGATCTGGGCCCAGTGTTAGGACTTTCACCTTATACTCGAGCGGCTTGCAGTTGGAGCCGTGCATGCACTTGGCATCCTGAGCTGGACGGGACTCGCAAATGGCGCTCATCAGATAGCGTGGAAACGATGTGCTGCCCAAGTCAATGAGATCGTTCTGCATTGACATATTCATTGTATAAGAGATGTAGATATGTATATATACATATATTCTCTCGATAGGCTTACCATAACTTTGCAATCGCAGCCGGCGGCGTGTGCATCATTACGTTTGCTGGTCAGCAAATCCTCGTAGAAATCATTATAGTACATCGGCGGCAGCTGGTGGGGCGACAGTGCCGCCTCCGTTGGACGTGTGGTGGGCGGTACAGTTTCCGCGCTGCCTGGGCGGCCAAAGAGCGCATTCAACATCTTGGAAGTGCTCTGATCAGCTTCCGTTTCGACTGCATCAACTGACAGCTCGTTGCCGTCTCTGCCGCTGTCGCTGCTGCCGCCGCACTCTTGGACGCCGAGCAGACGACTGCAGCGCTTAGGCATGCTGCGGGCGAGCATTGGGGCAGTCAGCTCGTCGTAGGCAACAAACCGATTGCTGCTGATGACGCAGCGCAGCGCCAGCGCCGCTAGCAATGTGGCCATCTGCAAGCAAATTGTTTTTATTAATACACTGAGAGAGAAGCGAGCGGTATTGCAAGAAGAAATTGTAATGCAATTATTATATTATAATATATATACTTATGTGCATATAGTATTTACATTCTTATATTTTAGAATTCTTTTCGCCAGAAATAAAAATAAAATATTCTTCTTAAGCTTTACATATTTTTGCTTAAATGCAATATTAATTTTACGCTTTAAACATTTTTCCTCGTTTGGCACTTTCTAAACTTGGTTAGAACATGTTTCAATATTAACTTATATTTAAACAATTTTAGACATAAAAATTTAATAGGCGAATTCTTAATTTGAATTGTTTTGAAAAACTCATTTGGACTTGAAAAATTCTTTGAGAAAGCCATACTTGGGTTTTTTCTAGTCAATGAATTTATCATTTAATAGCTTTGAATGATAAATTCTTAGTTTGGAATGGTTTGAAATTTATTAGAAAACTTAGTTTTGAATATAAAAATTTCTCTAAGAAAGCCATCAATATTTTTTTTTTTTTTTAAGTTTTTTATTTATTTTTTTTTTTAATTTTAATTTATTTTTAGTAAATATGAACAGGTAAAGTACATTTTTATCACGCCCGAATTTGATTTTAGATTTTATAGAAGTAATGTGAAGATTTGCCGATTTTGATTTTGGAGTTGTTCGTCTAAATTTTAAACTTTACTTTACGTTAAATTAAAAACTTTCAGTTTATAAACTTGTTCAACTTAAACTCATACTTAGCACATTTTGTTTATCGAAGTGGTAAGTATGAAATTATTCAATACTCTTCACTATTTGCCGTGTTTGACTCACCCAGAGCATGGCTGGAACCGAGCTGCTGCAGAGTTTGGCTACGTTTGCGACTCTGATGGCGTTGGTGGGGCGCTTATATAGCCGCTGGCCAGCTGGTCGAACAAAGGCGGCCAAATGCTCGGATTACCTTTTGTGTGGGCCAGGCATGTCCATTATGGCCCGTCACCTGGACAGCAGCAGCAACAGCAGCCGCAGCAGCAGCAGGAGCTGGCACAGCATCCGAGCAGCTAAACAAAAGGCTCAACTGTTGACATAATAACAAAAGGCTCTGGTGGCTGGGTGGCATCAGTTTGGGGAGCCTCAAGTGTGGAGCGCCTATTTATAGCTGGACACTGGCTTTAAGTTTCAGCTATTTGAAGTGTTGATGTGTATGACCAAAAAAAGAGAGGAAGAAGAAGAAAATATGAAGAAGCAGCAACAAATAGTGGGAATACCCAGTGACCCAGACATTTGCAACCACCAACCGCCCAACCACTTGAGCAGCCAGCAGGCTAAGAGCTATGAGCTCATGGACTGCGCGTCTAGCACTAAAAACTCAGGTGCATTTCTAGCAGCCCCAAGGGGTAGGTGCTAAGTGTGCGTATGTATGTGTGTGCGCTAGTATGTGTGTGAGTGTGTGTGTGGCAGCTAGTTGTGGGGCTTCACTGTATGACGAGAAAGTCGCGCAAACGCCAATCCACCCAGCGGTTCGTCAGTTGAATGCGCGTCGTTGCTCCGTACGGTGGGGCGCAGTTATATATAGAATATATACGTATTTATATATATATATTATCATCTATATATATATATATATATGTGCGCTTACAGTTGGACATGCACTGGCAGGCACGTGCAAGCGCTGCTCAAACTGTTTGCGTGAAGGAGTTAAAGGCCAGGACGATTGCCAAAAATATTTCCAGCGAAATCAAAGTTTCGTGCTGCTGTTGTTGTTGATGGTGGAGCGCGTACAGTTATCCGCTTGACTTGGTGCAGGGGCGGAAGCCCTAGTTGTGTTGCCCCCTTGTTCTTGTTGCTGTTGTCGCTGGAAATCGTTAAAAAGCATAGAAAAGTTGCGACTATGTCACGAATTGCCGTCGACTAAAAAAACAAAAACCCAAATAATAAAAAAAAAAAAAAACACTCCCGCTTGAACAGCAAAGAGAGAACCGTAGAGCAAGCCGCAGACCAGTTGGCACTCAGGATACGCATGGACAAAGGCACAATGAAGCGCAAGCAGCGTCGATACAGGTAAGCCAGGCTGATAAGGGATACAGGCGATACAGGTGTGTGTGCTTCATGATTGCGCTTGATTCGCAGAACCACATTCAATACACTGCAGCTGCAGGAGCTGGAACGCGCCTTCCAGCGCACTCACTATCCGGACGTATTCTTTCGCGAGGAGCTGGCCGTGCGCATCGAGCTGACGGAGGCACGCGTCCAGGTCTGGTTTCAGAATCGTCGAGCCAAGTGGCGCAAGCAGGAGAAGATGGGCGGCGAGTATGAGAAGGGCGCCGGACTCGAGCTGGACGTGGCATTCGATGATAGCGCCGTGCTGGGCCAACTGGACAGCGCACTGGGTGAGTAGATGTTGGCGAGGTGATCATGGCTAATCTAAACTAATGCATCTTCAATTCAGCAGCTAGCGGTGGCACATTGCTGCCGGATACGCCGCCGCAGTCTTCCAATTCGCTGGACAACGAGCTGAAGGCGCCCTTTGGCACCGGCTGTGTCTCGCCCTCCCGGCTGTCGCCCAACATCTTTCTCAATCTGAACATTGATCACTTGGGCCTGGAGCGTGGCGGCAGCGGCCTGTCCATGGAGTGGTCCACCTACCCGCCGTCCATAACTACCGCGCATACCACACACCAGCATCAGCAGGAGCAGGAGCAGGAGCAACAGCAGCAACAACAGCAGCAGCAACAACAATTGCAGCAGCAGCAGCAGCAATCGGAGCAGCAACAGGTCTGCACGTTGCAGCATCAGGCGCTGGCAAGCGCCTTTGGCGCCTCTCTCGATCTGGATCTGAACGATGGCTCCTCGGCCTACGATGAGATGAAGTTTCTCAGTGTGGATCAGTTCACGATCGACAGCTTCAAGGCGGACTGCATACTCAGCATGGAGCACAGCCTGGCGCTGGATGACAAGCAGCATCATCATCAGCAGCAGCAGGAGCAGGAGCAGCCGCCGCATTCGCTGACCAATTCGACATCCTTCGAGTCGCAGGACAATGCTGCACTGCACTCGCTCTGCCTGGACGGCATGGGCGTTGGCTTCGGGGGCCTCTCGCTGCTCTCCTCCCACGTTGCAGACGTTGGGGCTGAAACGGCGCCCAAGTCGCCGCCATCGCTGCTGGTGCTGGACAAGACGCTGCCCTCGCTGAGCATCGGTGTGGACGGCATCAGTGAGCTGGTGGAGCAGCTTCAGCAGCATCAGCAACAGCAACAGCACCAGCACCAACACCAACACCAGCATCATCATCATCATCAGCATCAGCATCAGGATGTTGGTGTGGGCGGCAGCAATATAGTCTAATCGCGAAATTTGGATTAATTTAGGTGAATTCATTACACATAGTTCATGTTGTACGTGTCTAGCTATAATTTTTGGATCCAAATGCTCTTTTCAATATTTGATATACATATTATTATCAAGGTATCTATTATGTTGTCCGATGTCTGGTTGTGTAGAATTCTGTTATAAGTACTCCGTTTATAGTGTTCGTTCGGTTATTGCGACGAACAATCGATGTCTTAGCTGGTCCCCACAAAAATATATAAAAGGACCTGCGCTTGGTTATAGCGTCCTCCGGGAATCGTTATAACCGCATTCTACTGTACTGTATATATTGGGATCTACAATGCAGATAGTTCTAGCACTAACAAGATAATCTACATATATATTTTATATATCTGTGGTCTTCGATCTATACTTGTCAAGGAATATAGGCATGAAGTGATTGTAGAGTATATATAAAGTATTTATCTTCTTCTTTATAAAATTTAAGTCTAACTAATGTTTCGTTCTTTGGATATAGCTAGTCTTATGCTATTCAAAACTGAATGCCTAAGTAGTATTCTTTATAAATATTGGATATCATATTTTATATGGTGTAGCTATTATTGAAAAGATCATTTAATCTTCGGCTAAGGTCGAAGTCAAACTTAATCTAATTCCTAGGTCATTTACCTAGGCGAATTCTAAATATAGTTAATGTTATGCCATTGTAGCTATGATTTTTAATTAACATGTCGGTGTGAGATATGTAAAATATATATATATCTGACGAGAACTGAAAATTCTCTACATTTTTGTAAGTATTCCTAACTAATGTTTAAATTTAAATTTAAAATTTAATTTAAATGTTTAAAAATTGCTTTACCTTTGCATTAGATTAAATGCCAAGGACATTAGATATTTATCCTTTTTAAATTGCTGTTATTGTTTTTATTTATAAACATCTTTTGTTTTCACCATTTGAGTGCCTTGATGTCTTCATTTTCGACAATTGCGCATCAAGCTATAAAACGAATTAATTCATATACACTGGGAGCTTGAGTATACTTAAGAGGTTGAGCATTTTAAGCACCAATTTCTGTGAATTGACTTGGGCTTTCAATTCTAGCGAATTGAAAATGTGAGCCTCGAGATGTAGGAGTAGTAGGAGATATGAGCAGCAAATTCGATGAAAATCTCAAAAAGTTTCAATAATCGGAAAATCAAAATGAATTTAATACCTATCAATTTAAAAATGAGTTTAAAATTATGTTAGGCATAACTTAGATAAAGCCCTACAATATATTCTATTATTAAATGTGTTTCAGTAATTTGAGAGTAAAGAGAATTCCTTATCTATTAACATAAAAAAATCAAGTTGACTTTAATATCAAATGATTTGATATTGTGAATATTCCTGCATTAATTATCCCTATTTTCTTTCTTCTTACTGTATATCTCTTTGTGCCTCCAAGTTAAATTCATTTTGAAATAGTTTGCTCTGGAAGCCTAGCTGCGATTCTCTGTCTATTTATAAGTTTTGCTGCCTAATGCCAGTTTTAAATGTAAATAAAAAAGCCTGAGACAGGTCCTTACAGTTCAGCTAGCAGTCATTATCGCTCTCGCTCTCCTTCTCTCTATCCCTCTCTTCATCTCCCTCTTTCATTCAGTGCCTTCCCAGGCTTAGCTATGCTTTCTGCCATACCTTGAGCCGTTATCGTGCCTAGCTCCTGCTTCTAAGGATTCCCTTGCACACACAAACTGTCTGCGTATGGGTGTGTGTGTGTGTGTGTGTCGTAACAAAGGACACCCCCAGCCATGTTTCATTTGGTATTTGTGGGTCGGATTAGAGCCAAAACTAATTGTATGATTTGTATGATGAATGGTTTTCGGGTTTCGCCAGTTTGTTTGCTTGCAAATAACATTTGCTTTTGCTTCAGCTTTTGCCTTTGCCAACAATTGCATTCGCTCCCTCCAGCCCCACACCGAGTAGGGGCGTGGGTTTCTGCACCTGCCCCTGCACCTGCAGCAACTGGCCGTAATTTCCATTTAGCGTATCCCAGTCAGTAAGCTAATAAGGCCTGAGCCGGGCCGAGCCACGTCGCATGGCCTTGGGGCGGCATCTGGAGCCCAGTCGGAGCTTTATAAATAAGCCCAGCGACGCGATCCCTCGACACGGGCATTAGCACCTTGCGCTAAGCTCTTTGTGGATTTGTTTGTCTGTGCGCTCGACTCACAGAATTCCAGCTTATTGCCGGCTAATTGCGGCTGGAGCTGATGCACTCGACCCAGTCCGAGGCCACGGCTCTGTCGCTCTCAACAGCCCGAAAAATACAAATAAAATTGTGATTAATCCAGTTCGTTTGGTTGCCATTGGATAAGCCTGTCGAAAAATGCCCAATAAAGGGCGCCGGGGGTTGATGATGTTCGTCCTCTGATCCTGTGCCCAGTCAGCCGTTGATCGAACCCGTTCACCCTTTCACCCTTCCACCTTCCACTTTTCACCTTTCCCTCACTGAGGGCTTTTTACAACCTGTCAGACATGCACACATGATTTGAAATTAATCGAAAATGTTTCGTGCATGTTTTAAAGGATACGCTCGTTGCTGAACTCAAAGCACTCCAGGCTGTATGCACAAGGACCACAAACTTTAATCGATAGTCAAATAAGCGTCGAGCAGCGCCAGAGTCAAGTCTGGCCTCAGCTCGTCTGAGTGTGTGTGTGTGTCGTTTGCAAGGATAACAAAGAGCTGCCTTGCACATTGCACTCTCTACCTCTCTCCCTCTCTCCCTCTCCCACTCTTTCACTCACAATCTCCTATTGTTTGCTGTAATTTCTCTAACGTTTGTTTATATTTTATATTGAATTCGCCCCGGGCCGCATAAACGCAATAATCGCACATTTTATGGATTAAACTCACCTGCTCACCTGCTAATCTATTAAAAATTTACTGTCAGGACCAAAAACTGTCTGCTTTGTGCGTTCAGCTATACTTGTAGTTTTTCATTTTCATTTTCATTTTTCTTTTCATTCTTTCTCTCTAATTTTCCCTTAGGGAATCCGTCGATTTTTATTGAAATTTTCTGTTTTGCTATAGAAAAAGAAAAGTTAAAATCAGTTTTGCTCTACTTTAAGATAGATATTATCTTAATTCTGGAGTTTTGAGAATTGAAGATGGAAGCTTTTATGTGATATATACAGTACATATGAAGTTTGCTACAAATCTTCACAGAGTAAATGCCATTAATAGTATTAGCTGAATTTTTAGTTAAAAAGAAAGCAAGAGAGTATGAAGTTCGAATTTGAACTTGGTTTCAGAAATATAATCTACAGTTAGTATTGTATTGAGTTATATACATGCATATGTAATTATGTAAATACTTAACTTCTTTGTATACATATTTGTATGTATATATTTTTATTTGTTATAAGCATCGAATGGGAGTGATTTTATTAATGTTTAGTTTTCTTTAGGTATATATTGTGTATATATATATCAAATTTAAAAAAAATACAAAAAAAAAAAAAAATTAAATTAGAATTTGTATTTGCAGAGTTTAACTTAATGCATTACTCATAATTAGTATTGACATGACTGATTGTTAAACAAACTTTTTGATTGACAAACTCTGAAGAATAATCTGAATGAGCTGTCTGGCCTCTTGATTGACTGATTTATCGATTGACTAAAAGCTATATTTAACTACTATATTCATGTATAAGACATGATTGGCTGCCTAATTTATTGACTGACTGCTTAGAATATATTGTAGTTCCAGAGACTCACTAATTATAAGTGTGTAAAGAATAATTTTTAAATTAACTTACAGTCAAATCAAATTGAAATCAAACTAAATACTACAAAGAAAAAAAAAAAAAAAAAAAAAAAAATTTCCTTTTAGTGATATAATTATCATGAGATTATTAGCCAGTTTCCTGAGAGATTTTAGGTTTAATATTGGTCGATTATTGGCAGAGAGCTTGGTCTGTATATAATAAATCATTGACAAAATAATAATAAATTAAATTTAACAAATCGTCAATTAAAAGTGTATTTTCCAGAACTTTTCTTACCGACAACTGATTGTCGATAATCTCGGTTTCCATAAAACTACCATTCAATATATATAAACGAAGTATTAAGCCGAAAAACTGTTTTATTCAGAGCATTTTGAAATGAATTACCTATATGTTGTTGGGTTGAGAAAAAAGCCAGGAAAATATCGAAATATCTGAAATATCTGAAGCCTTTAACCAAATGAGTTATTCATTATGGAGTTATTCATTTGAGAGCGAGTCAGCGCGCTCTGTCGATGGAATATTAAATAATAAAATATTAAAATCAATGTGCAATGTGTTTGCATGGAGTGGGCGTGCTGAGTGGGCGTGGGCGTGGGCGTGGTCATAGCCAGTGTGTTAACATTGCCCAGTCCGCAACAAACGAGAAGGTGTTCATGTGAATAAATTGCAATTAACAATATTATTTTTTATTTCAACAAACGAAACGCTGCAGCTATCCGTCATTTACGCAAGGACTCGTACATAAAAAATGGCTCTCATTTAATTAAAGGCAAATTTAATGGGTAAATATTTCATGTGCCACACATAAAGGTCTTTATACACACACACACACACACACACACACACACACACACGTTCACATATGTAAATGTTTAAATGGGGGTAAAAAAAGTATGACGCTTAAATGTTGGTATAATTTTTATTTTAAAAACAAAAACTTTGTACGCTGTGTATGCCATGTAAATAGGATGTAAGGGATATGATGGAGGGGCTCAGCAGCAGGACGTGAATGTATATTAAATTTCGTGTTGATAGAGTCGAAAAAAGACAAAAAAAAAAAAGAACAAAACAAAACAAAAAAAAAATAAACAAAAATTAAAAGGAAGCAAAATAATAAAATACGAAGCGTGCACTAGAAAAACAAAAGAAATCAAATTGAGTAAAAAAATCAAAATTAATAGACTGCAAATATTTGTAAATTTTTACACGAACTATTAACAAGGCTCACACAAACTAAGGGACGAAAACTGAGGGTAGCCTGAAATACGAGACTCGAGATGTCATTGACAGGAACGGATCCAAATAATAGAAGCAGAAAGCAGAAAAACAAGGACCTATGCAAATAGTCTGCGTTGGTGAGGGACAGAGCATACAAAATGGCGACGGCAACGAAATCAAAGATGGTGCAAGGGGTGGTGCAAGGGGTGGGGCGGAGGGGCTGGCGAGGTGATGCGTAGAGAATAAATTTGAATTTTGGTCACCTGACATGAGCTCTAGCACTGGTCAAAGGAAAATAACAAGACAAAGATGTAAAAAAAAAAAAAAAAAATACAAAATACAAAACAAAGGACAATACACATGACATAACTGGTCAAGATGGCAGCTCCAAAGGCGAATGGCATGACAACAACAACAACAGCACAGCAGCAGCAACAGTAGTAATAGCAACAACAGATAACGGCAGAAACGATGGCACGACAAAGCCATTGCTCAAATGTCCATTCAACTGTAAATGGCAAAATACAAAACAAGTAGCTGGAGCGAGGCAGTTGAAGAAGAGCAGGCAGGAAAGTAGCTTGACAAGTGCCGTTACTAAATTGTTAGGCAAGGCGTCTCTGTGCCAGACAGAGATGGCAGCTCAGCAAAAGTATGCTTCTACGTGTGCGTGTGTGTGTGCGCGTGTATTGGTAAACTGCAAAAATGCAAATGAA